GGGGGGGGGGGGGGCGATTCCTGATAACTCGAACTTCGGATAACTCGAAACGATTTGCCCGGTCCCTAAAAGTTCGAGTTAACGAGTTTTCACTGTATATGGGAGTCGTAGGATCGTATATCTCTCCAGAGAGCTTCTTTGCTTGTAGGGTGAGAGTGTGCCGCACTGCGAGTCACAACCGAAGAAAAATGTAGGACGATTCCTTCTTTTCTAAATATTTATGTTGACACTAACATATTGGCAGGTGGGGATTTTGCTTGAACTGATCCAGAGAGCAGTTCCAGAGAGGACGATCGAATTGTGCATTACAGCCATTGGATTTCAGATCTACCCACATCGCCATATTTTCCCTCCCGACGTATTTAAAAAAAAGGATACACAAGCCTCGTTTTCTCAAAACTGGAAAGACCGATCCGTGCCTTTCATGTACCCGTCTTTAACATGAAGCTCGAATTTATTGCAGCATCTTTTTTTATAATTCCGTTTATAAAATGTGAAGCCGATTCGAGAAACAAAACTGAATGAGATATCCTCAGATGGGAGCCCCTCGCAGAAAACGAGGATCAGGACCTGTCATGCATCATTCCAAATAAAAAAGCAAGCGGAAGGGGACGGACCCTTCCATCTTCTCTTAATCGGCCTGTCATCACTCCCAAGAGTCTTCATGCATTGCATGCTGAATGAAAGGAGACAGGGAGCTTTTCCACGATTTTCGGGATGATTGCGGCACGGGGTTCTAGGCGATGAAGCTCGGAGAAATGCTTAGTTTTTATTGAATGGAATATTGGGGGATTGTGGAGGAGATCCTCATGCGTTGCACTTGAACTCAAAGATGTCTTGGTATAGTCTATTCGGCTGCGAAAGACACACATGGTCGAGGACAAAGAATTTGATGGATGGGGCGGTGAAAGGCAAGGAATCAAAGAGAGACGTGTGTATTTGGCCTCTGGTAGGTCATTGGGGGCTAAAGGTTTATATAACACACTTCAGTGTTGCCAGATGAAGGACAGCACTTTTAAGTCAGCTGAGAGAGATCCCTTGGGATTCCGCTTCTTCTGATTCTTTCTTCTGAAAGTCGGCAACCCTGATTTACAAGGAAAATCCCTCCATTCACCATGTCTCAGGCGAAGAGCTCAAGTGATATTTAATGACCGAGGCTCCCCCTTGACCCCCTTGACATCGGAGCCGTAAGTGTGTCTTTTGAGGCCGAATAGACTATACGTTATCAGATAGCCATTAAGTAGATCACCTAATGCTGCATGAATATGCAGTCCGAACAAATCGAAACAATTACGACCGGGCGTACTTCTGATCTTCACTTACGCATAAAATATTTTATATCTAAAGTAAAAAACTTATAAAGCTAACTTCACTTAGTTTTGCCTTTGGGGCTTACAGATCGAAGCGGAACAAATGCAAGTGGTCTCACTTTATTAGTTATGAACGGAAGTGGGGAGTAAGTAGAAATGTGAGAATTCCATGATTCTGCTTACGAGAGTTCAAGAAGTCACAATAATTTTCTTCTCACCGTCGCCATTATGTCTTGCCAGATCATTCGGAAGGACCCAGATTCACATTTCCATACTCGAGCTCGATTTGTCGGGGGCGAATGGATAGGCGGCTACTTTCACGGAACTGCTAGAGAAAACGGTGAAATCTCGGTCTTCCTGCTAACCTTTTCAGGATTCCTTTGAAACCGCCTACCCTTTTCTCAAGGGGACCTTTTCTCAAAGGACATCAAGGATTTCAGCATAAGAAGTTTTAGCGAGACTGAAGGTTAGCATATCTATTGGCCGGCTTCTAACTTCTCTCATCGCGAAGAAAGCAAATAGGATTATGTCTCTCGATTGAAGTTAACCAACGATCTCGAACTTATATAAGCCGTACTGGAGTCTCTGGGTCAGTCTTTGTCATTGGCCGTCCAGCATTTGCATTCAGGAGGGAAAGTAAATGTGCCAGATATTCTCGAACAAACTCTTACAGACGATAGTTTAACGTGAAGAAGCCCTAAAAGCCCTAAATACAGGGTGACCCACAAAGGGGTTTCTGGTTTTGTTCTGGCATAATTCAAATGGTATTGCAGTTATTTTTATTTGGAAGAGAAAGTAATAAAATTTCATCATATCACCTGACAGGCCCGAAGTGCCCCCTGCCTGTCATTGCATGTCCGAATAGGCAAAGCAAGGTTTTCGGGTGGTTACGTGGAGTATGTCAACAGCTAGGGCTTGCTCCACCTGATCTTTCCTCATAGAACTTCTCACTTTTGGGACGCAAAGGACATCGCATTCAGATAGAAGCCACAAAATATTCTAAATTCTAAGGATGACTTTTTGCGCACCATTGCTGGGGTCACAGCTGACGCATTTCACGATACCACTGAAAACCAACTTTTCGCGTTCCGTTCTGCGGAGATCATGACGGACAGCATCTTCAGCCAGTCAAATGTCAGTGTTAGTCAAAAGGTGATCAACTTTACTTTCAAATAAAAGTGATTGCATTGCAAACTCTTTTATTTCAATTCTAAACCTTGTTTTGGGTCACCCGATGGTCTCAACCTCGAATTCACCCAACTTCATGTAGGGAAGCTGTGTGGGTATTCTTGCAGGGAGGGATCATGGATGAAAGTCATTTTTTACCTGGGATTCTTGATCGTCGTTTCCTGTGTCCCCACGAAGGAAAGGAAAACCTACGATCATTATTCCGTGGTCAGAGTGATTCCTCACGATCGCTCGTCCCTTCTTGCCATCCACAAATTCCAAACCTCCCACCCTGAAGTGAGTCTCCTTCGAGCAGCGAGTGCGGTTCACAGACGAGGGGGAAATGAATGTCGTTGACGTGTACTTTCAGCTGGATTTCTGGAGGGAGTCGTCCATGGTGGATCTGCCAGTGGACATCATGATCAGCCCGAGGGATCAGTCTCGCATTCTCCGGGAACTCCATCAGGCTGGTTTCCACCCCGAAGTCATCATTCCTAATGTTCAAAGGTTCAAATATCCATCCTCATTCCTTTTCTTTTTAAATTATAAGTTGAGAAGCGATTATACAGGGTACTCAAAAAGAAACCTCGATTTTTTAAAATCCTTTATTGTAAATATATCTAACACAATATACCCTGAGTAAATGGAAAATATCGATAATAGAGTAAAAATTAACAAACTAAACGAGAACAAACTAATAAAGATTTAACCAAACTGCTACAGTATATTCATCCAACTTACTTTCCCTTCAGATTTCGGAAATCTTTGTTGTACTCAAATGCTCTACATTTTAATTTAAATATATATATATATAACAGGAGTCGGGAGCGCTGCTTAAAAAAAAAAATCTTGATTTTGGAGATACCCAGCCCCTATTAACTGAAGTGTTAAGTGCTGACATGAAAATTGCGTACTAAGCAGAACGTCGAGCAGATAGCTTTAATCCTAGTTCTTTGTGCCCTGATGGAACATTGATTCTCTGGAGAAAGACCTATACGTGAGAAGCAAGAGAAATCTAGCGTGGTAGCATACATGTTAGAGCTTGCGCTACTGCATTTCTGCTCCAATTGTTGCACCAGAGAAAGAATAGCTTTAAACGGGGTGGATACACCCTATCAACCGGTCCCGTCATCTGGAGAGAATGCGACTTAAAAAAAATAGACTATCACTGAAGATAAATCTTATATAGGCGCATGAGAAATTCTCTTGAGCCGTTCAAGTCCCTTCTCAGACAATTTGAAAACTAGCTGAGGCATGACACGAACTTTAAACTTTGCATTTCTCCACTCAAATGTTGGGGTCTCATGCACTTTGTCACGTCTATGTAATCACAGGCATTTTAGAGAAATAAGCAAGTGGAACAAATAAGCAATAAGCAAGATTTATAGAAGCTATCGAAATCTGTACCCTTAAAATATTTTATGAAGGAAGCAGAAGTTTAGGGTTCCCAGATTCCTGGGGAGCATTCAAGAATAAATCCCTACTTTTTTATTTTTGAAACCGGGAGGAGATAAGAAAGCAAGCATGACAAGTCTCAAAGTCCAGATAACTATTACCTTTTCTCGCGTCTTGTCTATCTTCGTAACAATCTTTTGCTTTTTCAGGCTGATAGATGACCAGAAATTGGCGCCCAAGGGGGGAAGAATGGCTTGGGAAGACTACCAATCCCTAGATACGGTGAGCAAATAGTTCCCTATTCCCTTTAGATTTCATAAGACTTACGAAACCTATTCCCTTTAATGAAGCTCACCAAAGTCTGTTATTCGCAAGAATGCTGCGTTACAAAGAGGGTATCGAAAAAATGCAAGAATGCATTGGGAAACACCCTGCAGAGACTCGTAATTTAACGTGGCTCGTGTGATGTTCCTCAGTCAAGTATTACTTAACTGATATTTTAATTCAGATATAATTTTGTCAAGCATGCAGGAAAAGACGATATCAACGCCATGAAACTTCGGAGAATGCATCAGGGCAAAATTGAGTCTGACCATTAACTTCACCCTAAAACAGGGGGGAGGGGGGGGGGGGGGGGGGAAGGGGGGGGGGCTGAAAAATGCGAAAAAGTGGAATAATTGGCAATACTAATTTGAACACTAGAAGAAAAACTCCTCTGGAAGAGTAGCTTACATCAGTTTGAGTGTATTCCAAGCCGTCAGGGTTCACACCGAGTATTCCATAGCAATCGTGATATCCTTCGCACATTTCCTTTTCCTCAGAAGATTTAATGATCGATGGGCTTCCGCTGATATACGATGCTGATCACCGCGACTCTTTCTGACGCTTACTACACTTTCGAAGCTTTAGGGAAGCGCTCAAGAGTGTACCCTCACTCATACGGTCAATTATATAATATTTTAAATCATCATTAGGAATTTATTTTTATTTCTTTCCCAGATTTACGAATGGCTGGACACCCTCCAATCCTTGTATCCGGACATCGTTACTCAGCAGACCATCGGATCATCGTATCTGGACAAGGACCTCAAGCTCATCCGATTCAATAAGAATTCAGGACAACCGAAAATGGCAGCCTTCATCGATGCGAGTGAGTCTCATGCGGTCCAAGCCGGATCTTCCTGGTCCGACCCCTGAGGGAATTTTCTCGTCTCGCATGCAGACATCCACGCGAGGGAATGGATCACGTCAGCAGCCCTGACTTGGATCATGAACGAACTCCTCACAAATCCCACCTATGAGAGAATCCTGGATGAATACGATCTCCATTTCCTCCCCGTTGTGAACCCTGACGGCTTGGAATACACTCAAACTGATGTAAGCTACTCTTCCAGAGGAGTTTTTCTTCTAGTGTTCAAATTAGTATTGCCAATTATTCCACTTTTTCGCAATGAATTCGACTAACTTCGGCATGGCTCAATGCTAATTTAATGAATTGTTTCATCCAAATGTCACGGTGTCTTCATGGGAAACGTCGGAGGTGGTACCAATTCAAAGGGAAAACACAAAAGTGAGAGAGGGACGCCTATCCTCTTGCACACCCCTCCGCCGTCTCCCGAGGGATAATCCCCAAAACTGGCAGAGACATGGAAGCCATGGAAGGGGCTTAGTCTGTCTTTTCTAATCACTCAATCTACTTGTTACTCCTGTCACAGGCACAGTCGGTTTTGTTCCATCTAGGTGCAAACGCTCACAAATAACGGAGATTTGTTAATTGTGTCGAAGGAAGTCTGGACCTCGTGAACCTTAAATGTTTTGAAACGAGCCTAGCATATATCCAAGACCGAGAATGAAATTATAGAATGGAATGGAAATATTACCGTGATTGGTCGATAACTTTCCTGCTGATAAAACCTTTCAATCCACTTCATATTCTTTTACCCATCGGGTGCTCATCTATTGAATAAAGGAGCTTTCGGTACATGAAGCCAGTAAGCTCATCGACGTCAAGTGGGGTAAGAAGCATCATGAAGAATTAGACCCGAATGCTAAAACCTCCTTTAGTTAACGGTCCTTTAACCCTTTCAATGCTAAGCTCTACTGGGTAACCCGGCGAGTATACTCGTCTGTTGCATGGAAAGGGCTAAGAATACATGGGCTCCTATGGGAGAAAAAGTGCTCTTCAGCTTAAAGGCCCCTCTATTTCCCCTAAACAAGGTTTGTGCATTCGGGCCTCAGCTTGTTGCAGACGAATTCCTTGTTCACGTTCTCGATCACGTGCCATTTCGTTCACTCGATTCTCTCGCCGAGGTCTCTGAGTGTGCCATGCTCCCGCTACACTAAAGCAATAGGGTGATTTTTTTTTAAATATCGGTTGGTTAGGCAATAAATGGTATTGTCTACTCCTCAACTGCTGGAGTGATGAATAGTTGAACTGGATGATTACTTTTAGTGAACTACAGAACCGATCCCCAAGGGATGAATCAATTCGTCTCTGTTCAAAAGAATGCCATTTCAGATGACTAGAATGAGTTATTACTGCAAGTGCCAACATCGAAACGACGTGCAGATTAGGACTAAAACAACTGAAATTACTTTCATAAATGAGTCCTCGTCTCATGGAATACTTGTTTAGAGCCCGCAATCCTGAAATGTAAGCTGCTTCAAAATGTCTTTAAATGTGGTAGAAAAGACACAGAGGCGACTCCATCAATTTCGACTAATTAGGTACAGATCAGAATAGACTCGTTCGTCCTCAGGGAACATACATTACTATGAATAAATTACTGTTTAAAAAAATGAATATGCATTTTGAAACGTTTCTGTGTGAAAGGGTACATAGTGACACGATGTTTCACACCAACACAAACATGTCTTTCTGATGATATCAAGTATATTGTCGTCTAAGGGTGAAATGAAACAGCAAACGGCGGTTGCGTGTATTGATTTGCAATTAGCTAACTGCCGCTTCACTTAAACGTATAAACATATTGTAAATATGCGGTCGCAGAAAACGTTAGGTGACATTAGATAGTTTCGGCCTTTTCCTCGCTGTACATGGCAAATATCTTTTCATGCCAATCCCCAGTCGAAATTTCAAATCTTCCACGGTCTCGCATCATGTCCCCAATAGCTGAACTATGAGACTCTCGATGGTGAATTCGTTTCAGGACCGGATGTGGAGGAAGACATTGGCCGACCACGATTCCCCCTTCGGTTGCGTTGGAGTCGATGCCAACCGAAACTTCGCCTACCATTGGAATGGTAATCCATTTTTTTTAACGCTTGATTCCATAAGTCTTTAGGAGTGGATGTGCGACTCCATTCCGTACACCTGAAAAAGAAAAGAGAAGGCTTCGATTATGGCTTTCTGCACCTAAGTGGCGCGGAACAGCAGTTTTAATGAATCTAGTCCTTCTACTTTTCTTTCCGATGAAACACGTAGAATATGGAAGAATAATCTCCCCTCCTATCTGCCATTGCTTGTATGTCCTATTTCTTTCTTTTTTTCTTAAAAAAAAAAGACAGGACATGCGACGGACATACACGACAACGGACGCATTTTACATGACACAGAGAGGAAGGGGGTGCCAGCTTGGCACGAGCACCACATCCGTATCACAGTCCCTTAGGCTGGGACATCCCTCTACGGTCCTGTAGGAGGCCTTAAGGGCAGCTCATGGGTTGCCTACGCCCATGACTGACATGAGTGGTTTTTAAGGTGTACTGCACCCGCATACCTGCATACCTACACGAGTGGCGTGTATGTGTCCCACGCTAAGCAGATACTCCCCATGAAAGCAGGTGCAGGTGGGTCACCTGTCGGCGGAGGAAGAGCCCGCCGCCACACGGACTCGATCCCTCGCCTTCCGGGTTTCACTCGGAAGCCAGAACCACTCGGCCACTGAAGCCCGGTGTATGTCCTATTACTGTTATTAAGGAGGACCTTCATCCTCCCCCAGGCTACAGAACTATTCAGACGATATCATGATGATATCGTCTTTTGTCCTCCGCGTTCATTCTCGTCCAGCGTCCCCATTCGAGATCATCATGCAACTGTACAATATCCGCTCCGTTCGATCGATTAACAACTCGTGGAAAACCGAACCACTCGTCCACCCTCGAGGTGAGGCAGTTTCCTTACCTTACCAGTTACCTTCGGAAGTGCGCCACTGCACAGATTTTCTGCCTCGTTACTGTCATAGTGACGAGTAAACATGAGTGTTGACGAGAGTTTACACATGAAGGGAGCAATTTCTCCTATTCCCCTTGCCTTGCCCTTCATCATTTCTCCCGGGATCGTGAAAGGGACGGGACCTTGAAGACGCTCAAGCTTTTTAGCATCGACTTTACCTGATTTGCTGTGACCGCTCACCGGTTTTCTGTCAAAATTTTCTCAATTAAATAATCAAGTTCGTTCTTGTGTATCGATTCGGGCTATTGAACCGTTCACGTTTTCGAAATGAAAGGAGGATGCCAATTATTTGTATCTCCATTGGGTCATTTCTCTTTGCGTTTATTTGACTCATGGTCCAATTTCGACTAAACCTCATTCGTGTTTTGGCCAGAGGACCGAGAAGTCAAGCTCCGATGAAATTATAACTCCTATTGTACAGGTAACAAAACGGAAACAGAATATGAGCCGCATCGTATAGCTCACATACTGTACTGACAATAGCAAATGAAATTAAACAATAACCTCCATCGTCGTGGCCTGCTCCATTTCCTCCGCATGTAAATGAACCTGGGGAACATTGCATTCCTTGTGATCGAGTTGTCTGCAGTGCATTTAGTGGAACCGATGCCCTATCGTTTTGCAGTCGTTAAAGCCAGAGGTGATCAAACATTATTCACCCACTCTATACATTTTTTTGTCGGCGTGTTCATCATTTGAATGTAAGGAGTGTATGAAATTTTCAAAGCCAGTTTTCATTTCCAGTCGTACGAAGCGCATGACTTGGAATGCATTAGCAACAGGCTTTTCTTCTCGGAAGCTTCTTGCCTTCTCTCTGGATGTGCGTGGAGAGACAATCTATTATGCTATTCAGTGGTGAAGTTTTCATTTCCTTCGAGGAAACACTACGGAAGCGGAGACTAGACCAAAAATATCCTTGTTTTTTTTGCCCAGCCGGATATACAGTATATATTTGCTAATGCCTCTCCTGATTTTCATGTCTAGGGAGTTCGGCGAGTTTTCTTTGCGTAGTCTAATTTGATGAGCTTGAAGCCTACTCGAAACTCAATGAAAGACTGAATAGCTTTACTCAATTTACTCTGACGCAATTTAGAGTTCCCATTCCACATTTAATTGACTGACTTCGTCTGGGTGCTTCCTTTGGACGAGTGGTAGGATCCCCCGCCCGGGGTTCGGAAAAAAAGACTTGAATTGACAGAATTGAAAAAAGCAACCCGAGATTAAAATTTAAAAAAGCCACCCGGTTGGTTGCTTCGTAATTATTCATTTCTATATATTTATACATATCAGATAATTAAAGACATTCACTTGGCGATGTTGAGACACATTCACACAGGAATGTGGCTGATTATTATCCATGTTTTTAATATTTAAGGGTGAATTGCCACCAATTGTTCAAGTAACATTGCTGATTTTTCGTTACCATTTTGGAAAAAAACTATGAAAGATGCAAAGCATCGCTCGATTGGAAGCACTTCTTTAATTCTATATATATTTTTTAATATTCTTTCCCTACTTTCATTATGAAGGGAAGAAGGACTCTGTATGAACATGGACTCATTTCAATGCAATGCCTGAACAGACTTCCGGGGGGGGGGGGGGGGGCGAGGGGCGGTTCAGAGGGGTGGATTGAGGAGGGGAGCAAATCCTGATCCTCTCCATCCCCAGGAAAAAAGGATGAAAGTGGATAGGAGGGAGATAAAATTAAAAACCTTACATGATTCCAGAGCAATTGTCATTTGAGAACAAGTTCTAAGAAGTGTTCGGTGAGTGCTATCATATCATCCTGCAACACGGTCACAATCAAAAGGTTGGCCATACTATCATTTTTAAGGAATGGGCTGAAGTTGCACTTGCTTTATTTTTCATGACATCTCAGTGAAGTTGATCAAATTGCATTACATCAATGTCACTAAATGTCGCAAAAATGAATGAGTCTTTTATCTGACCTGAACATAACGGGATGGCACTTTTCGGCCTTTGCCAAATCTGGGGGTCTTATTTCCGGGTGGCTTTTTTCCTAATCCCCCCCCCCCTTCAATCGAAAGAAAAATCAAACGAAAATATATCAAATATGATGCCAGAAATTATTTGCTTTTAAATCTTAATTTGACTTAGTTTGAGTTGCTAGAATAGTTTTTGATCAGAAGATGGTTGAGATCGTGTCAAAAGGGACGATTTTGCGACCAGAATGCTTTGTGATCATCTTGGGCTGATACTCCAGTCTCACTTTTTCCGATGAGGTGTTCGAAGTCCTCTCATATCGATGTCATCGATATGGTCCTCTTACCACGCAAAACTCTTTCTTAACTTGTCCTCTCCCTACACAAGCACTTCAGTCGTGACTCTTTCATCATCACCATGCTCGGATGCCCAATGCATACCATTTCACTTTATGTCTTCCAACGTTCAAAATTAAGTTTTCCAGGATGCATTAGCATGCATACTTTTGCCCTTCTGGGTACGCTTGTTTTTGTGTGCATGCATGCGCGTGAATGAGCTAGGTTCATGTGCCCAAGGGTTTCGAGCGTGATTGTAGAGGAGGGATTCGGCAGTAGCGAGTGTGACGAAGTTGGCTAATATCGAGCCAACAGTCGTGGTTGTAGCTGTCAATGCCAAGAATGCTTTGTCGAGGATCGGCTGTGTCCACGCGTTTCGTTTTGTCTGTGGTTGCAGAGGGCGGATCGAGCAACGACAAGTGTTCGGAGGTTTACCATGGACCGAATCCATTCAGCGATGTGGAGACGATAGCATTGTCAGATTACATATTGGAAAATATGCCCCGAGTGGACTTCAAACTCTATCTGAGCATCCATTCCTTCTCTCAGTTGATTCTCCTCCCGTGGGGATTCACAGAGACCCATCCGGACGACTACGAGGAACTCGTGAGTTTCTCTTTTATTCGCCTTATCTCGGTGAACACGCACGCACGAGTGACGTCATTCGATGGTCCTTTACGTAGATGGAAGTGGCACTTATAACCGAGAGAGCTCTCGAGGAAAGATATGGCACGGGATTCATTTCGGGAAGCCTCCCAGATGTCATCTGTGAGTTTTTTTCCCCCCCAAAATGCAAAACTTTTCCTGATGCAAATGAAGGATATACCAGAGGGTACCGTACGTACCGTGGTTCGAGTAGGATGTGCGAGATGCTTCTTCATGCATCGCTTCATGCATCTGGCATCCGACTCCAATGTCCATTAGATGCCTCAGTATACTTGCTACACCAGTTTGGCTGTGTGAAAAAGCCTAATCCAATGTAGCAAGCGATTTGCTGATTAATTCTACTTTTTTAGACATAGTTTTAGCTTGCGCGTACGATCATTTAGATTTTTGTACATTTTAGATTTAGTTCGGTGTCTTAGCTCAGGAGAGGAACAAGCTTGATTTAGTCTTTCGGGATGTTAATAAAAAATCAGTTTCCCTTATAACTGGTAAATAGGGGTAATCAGGTGATTACATCTATTTCCCAAGCACACCATCTACAGGCGGTTAGCTTCAAGACGTGGTGTTTTCACCCATTCACTTTGGAAAATGTGAATTCATCGCATTTAGCGACACTTACCCCATCAGGTAAGTACTTGTGATCACTATCAGGGAGTGATCATCATGCAAAGCAGGTTCTGGATTCGCGTGATTCAACCGAAGCAATTAATACGATTTAGGCTTGAATACGAGTCCATTTGTATGATATGAATATATAGACTCGTGTGCATTTTCTCTTGACTCTTGCGAGTCTTAAGTGAATAGACAGTGAATATGGAGACATGTAAAAACTATCAGGTATTCAACGAGGAATAATTCGCACGAACAAATGAGTCCGATAAAGGTTAAATGTGAAAGAAATCTTACATGCGAAATGATCAAATATTGAAGGCGAGATTTTTATTGCATTCGCAGATTTTGCGATCCGAATGGTTAAAGTTAAGCTGCTTAGTAGACCGGAAGTATATGCTCGGGCTAATTGGTATGAGTAATTTGATTTTGAGGGAACGAAATTTCCGCGGTTTCAGACATAGCCAGCGGCGGGTCGATCGACTGGACGAAGGGGGATGCCGGCATCAAATATTCGTATGCCTTCGAACTGAGAGACACGGGATTCTGGGGATTCCTCCTTCCCGCCGATCAGATCGTTCCGTCCGGTGAAGAGACGCTCGACGGTATCGTTGCGTTGCTCGACGCCGTCAAGGAAAGATCTCTCTAAGAATTATCGTGGAATAAATGTGTCGGGAATGATGGTAATAAAGTTACGGGAGGTTTGCCGGTGAGAATATCGTTCTTGATTTACGCGCGGTTGTCGTACGTAGTGGGAAAGTGAACCGATGAGGCCAGTTTCACGACATGCCTCTTGATCTCCACACGAATGTGATAGTTTGCCACCGATTGAAGTACTCGATGACACAAGTTCAAAGCCAACTCTCCATTTGACGACTGTCATCGGTGGGACATCTGACAAGATTTAATGAAGGGGAAAGTATTGCATATATTATTTTTTAAAGGTTTTTTTGCTGTTTGGAATAGCAAACGATATCCATGAAAGAATATCGCCTTACGCATTATTCTGCACGATCCCGTAGGACAGAAAAAAGGCACACAAAGGCACATCTTACTTTGAAGGCTATCGATTGGAGAAGCCCTCGTGGTCCGGGCTCTTCAATGAATCCATCGAAATTGGAAGATGAAATGACTGCTGCGAGAAACAGGGGAACCATGGCTTCTCTCCAAACAACTTCAACGTGTCGATTCATTCATTCTTGAGTGTTTTTTCCTCCCTTTCTCGTGATTGGGGGACCGGTCGAACCGAGCTTCTCTCTTCCTTCATTGTGCAGTTTACCTTTCGTCCGTAATAGTAGGGCACTTGTTTGTGGACGGGTTAAGGAAATTTTCCTCTTGAAAATTTAATTACTGTCGTTGGGGTAACCGAGAAACCGCTTGATTGGTTTCCATGGGAGGCCACTTATCATAGTGTGACTAGCTGGTACCCGTGAAACTTCCACGTCTTCGTATTTGAGGTCAAGCGACGTGTGTCCCAAAGCATTTAAATGAAACGCAGCTGGAATTTTCAACAGTCATATCAATACTATTGGGTGCGTCCCGTCGTCCTTCACCAATTCCCAGAATTTCTCAATATGCCATATTTCAACAGGTTCGGTTCTATAATATTCAATCGAGACCCAATTCGCCCAATGTACGAATTAGGAACTCATATCTATCAGATGAAGGAGAGGAGATCCTTACCGTCCCCAGAGACCCCCAATTTCCCTTCATAGGAATTTTAAGTGAGTTCTTTCTCTGAGGATACTAGGGATAGCGTTCGAATTCCAATATGTCACGCTTTGGATCAATAATAAGGAATGTCATTGCGTCATCAGGGAACCTGCAATTGCATGTAAGCAAATTTTCAGCGAGTGCCGCCTCGTGGCATTCGAGTGAGATACGTCGTTCGAATTTCGAACACATGGGTATTGGATGAGGTATGATTTTGTACCATGCCCGGCATGAGTTTCAGCTATATTAGACGGTTCCGACCCGCGGATCAGGCAGGCAGCTCGGTAGGCAATCAAGATTCCTGTTTTGTGCAGGCGAATGCATTATCAGAGGGATCTTTTTCTCCAGCCGCTTACAACTGCCGGCAAAAATGACTCCTCGTTCCGTCAGCGTTCGACGAGTTCAAGTCATTAAATGACATCACTCTCAGGCAAGCAGCTGGCAGCGGAACGTCGCGAACTATGATAGCACTGAACAGCCCAGCACGAACGTGACGTCATGGGAGCGTCAACCGGAAGCGTCGACAAAGACAGCAGAGCCTCTTAGAAAAAGGACGTACCCAGAGACACCGAGTTCTGCAGCTTAGAGGCCTGAGCGGGCTGTGGGCCGGCTCGATCAGCCCTACACGACCCGCTGGTGGGGTCCGCAAAGCTCGGTCTGGCGATCGAGTTCCGGGTCGGGTTCCTACCACGATTCGAATCGGGCAGGACCACGGCTCGAATCGGGCCGATCGGGTCGGGTTCTGAAAAGTCGACCCATCCAGCCATTATCCCATCCAGACCCATTATTATATAGATTAGCGATCTCAAAAAAATCCGAAAAAATTAAATTGGTATGTCGACATTTCGTTTCGTCGATGTTTCCTCTCGTCGATGTTTTGTCGTCGATGTTCTGTCGTTTCGATGTTTTGGCGTCGATGTTCTGACATGATACCTCCTTGGGCATCCCGAATATCGTGCAAACACTAGTTTCACTTTTCGTTGACGTCTGACTTTTTCACTTTTCCGTTCCCCGCTCTGAAAGAATCAATTAGGGGAGCCAGATTTCTTCATCTCAAAGAGACTGATTCGACTGTGGCCAAGTCATCCATGGGCTCGAAAAGTGATGGCCTGCAAATTGGTACTTTCGAACTGAGAAGACGAAGAGAAAGGTGCTGTTGTGGAAAAGTGGCGAGGGATTACATTGACCAGTCACATCACGTAACGTTCCTTTGGTGACATGCGCCAGATTCGTTTAACTTTAAAAACTTATTCGTTTTCATAATGGGCATCTGTGGGAATAAGTTTATCTCTGTTAAACTGATTTTTATAGGAGGCATTGTGACATCAGATAAGTCTCACTTAAACGGATTCGGTGCATGTCACTCATGTTATTTAATACCCCTCGTAGGACCATTCATTGACCTTAGTCCAAGAGTCACATCAGCTAGCGGTCATAGGCCTACCCCTATACCCCTCCCCCTACCTTTCAATCTCAATTGATGAAAATTCGCACATTAAGATCGATCTATCGATATAGTGGGAGCACGTGGAAGTGATCGAACAGTTCGAAAGCACCCATTCGAGTTCATGGAAGGCGACGAAACAAAAGTTGCCAAGCGTACGTATACTGGGACGTGACGTCATGTTCAGAGGAGGTCGAATTTCGACCCTGCAGTGAGCTGACCTCTTTTTTTGACCTCGACCGGCAGGAGGAGGAAGAAGCCGATGGTCGCTGGCGGTCAACGGAATTCCTTTTGACAAAAAAATCTTCAGAAAAGTAGTCCCGTTGGAGTCCTGAACGGGAAAAGATTGTCTCATAGTTCATCGTGGAAGCACAGAAGCATCCCGTTCTGCATGCCATCAGATCAAAAGAAACGAGCTAATGAAGAAGAAAATGTAAAGGGAAGGGGATCGGGAAGGATCTCTTTTTCAGGCGAGTCCTATGGAACGATCCGTGAGGAAAAAGGTAAAAGGTAGAAAGAACATTCAGAAAGGAAAGAACTTTCCTTTCCAGATCAGTGTCGGACGAGTGGCAAGAATCCATTAGCTCCTCATGCATATGGACGAGTTTATCGGAACTGATGGGCGGATGGAACGTCAACGATATTCACATTACTACTTATTCCGTGCTTCCAGATCAATTTAATCTTATTCAGGCTAAGTGGATAAGGAAAAATTGGGCTGGAATAAATCGTCTGTTCAGTCTGTAATCCACTCTTCTAAGATCTACAAATCTTTAAATTTTTATTTATTTATTTTTATATATTTATACATATACTTTTTTTTTGGGGGGGGGGGGGGGAGGGGGGGTAGGGATATCATTTTCGACACGTGAAAAATGTTTCTTGCCTGAGAAACGCATTATCCTGCATGAGGGCATGGCGCCCCCGGTACTGTTCCCTGAAAACATCGACTTCACACTTCATTTCTTTTCCTCTTGCGCTACCAGAAAAATCACAACTATCGACTCGTTCGCATTGGATGGCGTTTCTCGAGCGAACCCGAGTGACATCACTCTGTAAAAATTGCCTCCGACTGGCAACAGCAAAAGCCGAATCCGGAAATCTCCGAGCATGGAGAGGAGTTCTCGTTAGACGTAATTCAGTTTGACGAATTTCCGCGTCGTTTTCTGTTCTTTGTTATTCCACCTTGATGCAGATTCCCGTCCATGTCTATGGTCGTCATTCAAGCTATCGCTCTCCCTGGGGAAATGAAAACCGCCTACGTTCGATTCCTCAAAGGGAGCGTATCGCTTCTGTGGATGGACCTCCTCCTTCCTCTTCTCCTTCCTCCTCCTTCCTCCTCCTTCCTCTTCTCCTTCCTCCTCGTTGCCAGAGACGCAAATCCAGCTTTCCTCTTTGCGAAGGAGGGCGAGTGCGATCCGGGGGAATTACAGGCCGGTCGGTTCTCGCGAGGCTTCCTGGAGAGATCACTGGGGACGTACGAGGGATCGCTCGGATTCGAAAATATCTCAAGAGAAACTCCCTCATCCGGGAATCCGAGCACGTCTGCTGGGAAGCCAAGCCCTTGTCTCACCGATCTGCCAGAATTTAACGATTGAATACCGGATGGATAAAGGGAACTCACTCGTCATCATAATAGGGTGGCTTAAGAACAAAAATTCCTTGTTTTTTCTGTGAAATTTATAAATGAATGCCTTACTTTTTCAGCTACAGAGATTCAATTTCAAGGCAGTTCCATCGTAGAAGAATTTCTAAAAATAACGGAATAACAAGAGGAATTCTTCGGCAACACGAAAGAAAGGATACGTAAATTACGTTTTCTTGCTTCGCTGCAACTTTGGTTTTCAGTCAGCAGTCTGTAAAAAGAACTCCAAACGGTAGATATAATGTGAGAAGGTTACAGAAAAAGATGCATTTGTTGTGGAAAACGTCGCCAGAAAGTCTGCTGTATGCAGCAGACATTCGTGCAACCGCGAGTGAAACTTTAAACCGAGACTGCTTCCGATCTGGCAATACAGACTGCATGGCTGAAGAGTTTGTCAGGACTGTTTTCCATCCCGTTTCATTTCATGCCGTCGCGAAGCCATGGACACATTTTGTTAGATCGTTTCGTGGTTCGAACGGCATTGACAACCTCATTTCAAGACTTCGCAGCCTTTCAATGGCGATTGCTCGTTCTACTTTTCGCAATTGGTTGTGCACTCAATGAATATTCTCATGGAAAAGCAATCACATTGTATTTCGATTTTGCAACGACTTTCGTCAGCGTTCATCACAAGAGATTACTAATCAAAAGCGCATGAGTTTCATGGATTGGATGAGTAAATTGGCTGGAAATTGGAAAGGGTGGAGTAATCGTGAATGTGTCGGCATTCCGCTGCCAATAATAATGCTCGCGCATTATTCTTTCGCTCTATGCCGCATTGGTGAGACCCCATTTATAGTACTTTGTTCGATTTTGGAGAGTTCGG